AAAAAAATAATATAATTTAGTACTCCCAAAAATTGATTAAATGAATTTTAATATTGATTTAATAACAATAAAAATTAATTTGATATTAATTCAACAAATTTGAAGATAAATTAGATAAAATATTAAATGTTAATTTGCTAAAACAATATATTAATTTACAATATAATATTCTTTTTGTGTTGAATATTATTTGGTGTTGATTAAACTAACACGAAATTGACCTAGAGTTATAATTTTTTTTGTTGTATATAAACTTAAAAATTTATATTTAAACCCATAAAATTTAAAAATTTATATTTAAACCCATAAAATTTAAATACACTCTCTTAGTATATCACTTGATAAACTTTCGTTTGCTCAAGGTTCAAACATGCATATTTAAACTAAATCAATCGTTCACCCCACTTTTTTTTTTAAAAGAATTGCTCGCCTCCACCTAGTAAACTCAAAAAGCTCTAGATCACGTGAAAATACATGAAAGTAAATTAAAAAATTGACAAAAAATTTGAAAAAATGATTGTTCAAATTTTTTTTTAAAATTTACCAAAAATTTTGATAAGATTGTCAAAAATATAATCTAAGGTCAATTTTCGTGTTAATTTGATCAATAATATAGAATGAACTTTATTATAAAGTAATATTTAATTTATCAAATTGACATTTATTTTTTGTCAAATAAATATTCAACTTTGTCAAATTAATTTTTATATTTATCATTTTTTTGGATATTAAATCAATTTTTTTTTGATTTTATTATTTTTTTAATTTAATTTTTTTGGTATTAAATTTGGAGATAGAAAATTTTAAAATAATAAAATTTTTTAAGATAAAATTATCATTTTTTATTAATTGATGGAAGGGAGACAAAAGGGTCTCCGTGTAATGAGTAAGGTGGTCTTTATATTATTTGTAAAATGTCATAGGGTGTCTATATAATATTACTAAAACCCATGCAGTGTTTATATTTTTTACCTTTGTATATATGTGTTTTTTGGTCGAATACGACAAATTATTTTATTTTATTTTATCATTACAGGGGCAGGGGCATTTGAAACTAACACCTTGGGTGAATTAAGAGAGTGAACAGCCAGCCGAATGGACCCAAAGGTCCAAATTATTTATATTTTGCCCCCTAGTAATGGTGTATGTGAGGTGTGCATAATCAGGTCATGTGATTTAAATTCATGTCGAGTTTAATAATAAAATTATTTTATTATTTACAAAAAAATTCATGTTAATATTTGTGTTAATAAATAAAATAATTATTAATATTTATGTCAATATCTATCAAAGAATAATAGAATTGATACAAAATATAGTATTTAAGGAATTTAGGACTTCATTGATATAAAACAAAAATGGTAGAATTTAATGAATGTTTAAAAATAAAAGTAATACTTATTAGTAAATTTTCCTAAAATCTATGCTCAAATTGGTGTATTTTTTGAATGTGGTATTTGTGTACTTCTTTAATTTGAAGGATTCAAGACAAAATGCATTAAAATTCTTATTTAATCATCGGAATTGTTGTGGAGTTCATATATTGTATTCATTACTTAATTAAGTTTCAAATATTTGAAACCGAAAGATAAAGAAAAATAATACAGCTTTAGTCCATTGAAATTGATCTTTTTCTTGAAAAATAAAAGGACTTTTGGAAGTCGGTATACAAAATTGGACTTAATTGTCAAAAAGTATATAAAAAAAATATTTTGTAAAAAAATCCACTTAAGACATAGAAATACTTGAAAGTAAGTATTTTAAATAAGTTTCAGAAAAAGGATTCCCACATTTATCTATCTATATTTATACTACTAATAAATCTATATCTATATCTATACTACTAATAAAAGTATCTTAATATAAAAAACTTTTGAATATTTATTTTATCCTTATAAAGAATTGCAAAGATCACTCTATCTTTTCACAATTAAATATCTAAATTTTCATAATATCCTTATATATTTAAATCTCTAAATTATCTATAACATCTCTTTTAATTATCTATTCTCTATGTATAAATATCAATTTTTATAAAAAATTTTATTAACTATATTACCCTAAAAATTATGCATCATTACATTTTTAATAAAGTGTTCAAAAAATCTTTAAAAATTTCATCAATCTAAAAATACTCATATCATATGCAAAGATAACATTATACCTACATATATATATTTTCTTTTTCATTGAAAATTTTAATTTTTTTCATTTCTAACGTAAAAAATAATCATATATATAGTTTTTTAAAATCAAATTATGTTATATCATTATAATTATTTAATCACAATAAACTTTCTAAGTTGTATTAAGATTTTATGTGAAAATAGATATTGTAGTGTATTTTAAAGTAAAATTTGTTTTTTTTAGAATTTTAATATTGTAAAATTTGAATTTTTTTAGAATTTTTAAGTAACACTTAAAATTTTTAGATATTTAGAGTAGTATATTAAATCTTCTCCCAATTCTTAATTACAATAAGGTTCTAATATGATTAGTATATTAACAATTATTTTTATTTTATTTAAGAAATTTAAGTGGAATCCTAATAAAATAATTTTTTTAAAAAAAATATTTTTCAATCATCACTAAAAAATCAATCTCAATAATAAAATTCTTAAAAAATAAAATTTTAACTATTTTTACATCTTTTTTCTTATAATTAGAACAAAGAATTTTGGGAACATATAAAGTTTTTATAATCTTATAATAAAATATGAGTAATGAAAAATTAAGTATGATAAATTTGAGATGATATTTAATTTAAATACATATATATCTAATATATTTTATTAATTTTTGTGTACAAAAATTATTAACGTGTAATGCACGTGGTGTATTGCTAGTATTTATGTATCAAAACCCATAATAAATTCTCTCGATTTTTTTAAGGATATGTTTCAAAG